AACAAAAAAAGAACACATTCAAAAAAAAAAATAATCCAAAATAAAAAAATAAAAAAAAAAAAAAAAAAAAAAAAACACTACAAGAACCTATTATATTACATATAATATTATAAATTTCTAAACTAAGATATTATTTAAATACAACTTGGTAAATAATCTTTTATAATTATACAGTTCAATAAGTAGTTATTAATGATCTGAAATTGATTAATTATAAAAATCATAAAAAAGATAATTGATATAAGAGATGAATAAGTTAAATTTTTTGAAAATTAACCAACAAGTTAATTTTATTAGTTAATTCCAAACTGACTGCAATCATAAGTATGTATATATATATACTATTTGTAAACCCTTTAGAATTTAAATTTGTATCAATTTTTTGAGAATTTAAAATGATTTTATTTTGATTTGATTTGGATTTTAGTTCAAATAATTATGAAAGTTGTTTCTTCGAATGATGGATTTCCAGATCAGTGTAACTTGAGAATCACACTATTTTGAGAAATTTGTATATTACTGTAATCATTATTGATATAATGATAAAGCTTTTATCTTAAAAACAATGGATAATCCAAGTGTTGATACAGAATAGTATATTTTTACAATTGATTTTATTATGCAAGTCAATATATTACAATTTATTCATTTTGATTCAATAATGTAAGAATGACATTCGAGGAATTCTTTCAAAAAAAAATTCAACAGAAGAAATACTAAGACCAAGCTGTTATGAAAAAACAAAATAAGCATTTGGATGATAAAACATTGTATGAATTAGAAACCTGATTTTGTAAAAGAAGTAACTGATGCAAGTAAAAAAGTTTAGATGATAGTGCATTTGTTTAAAGATTCATAGTTTATATTTATGCTTTTACAAAGGTGCAAATAATTTATTCTCCTAATTATGGTTAGTATACACCAATGAATTCACACCTGTCTACTCTTGCCGAAAAACATAAGGCAACCAAATTTATAAAGATAATCGGTGATCAATGTATACCAAACTATCCAGATAAAATTTACCAACTCTAATGATTTATGGCGAAGGTGACATGAAATTACAGTTGATTGAATTAGACCAATTGGGTGGAATAAACATGAACCTCGAAAGTAATAATGCTATTTTTTTTTTTTAATTCTTATTATAAAAAAAAAAACTTGATTTAATTATTTAATGTATTGATCTAATGATGGTTGATTTAGGTCTTGAAGATTACTTAATTTTTTCAGATGCTATCAGTGTCGATTAAATAAATATAACTTGATTTAAGTTCTCTCTAATTAATGTATTTCTTAATACAGTAATTAGGAATATCTGTGGACTGTATTATGAAATATTAAAATTTTTAGAGTGTTTTGTTTAGCCTTTTTTTTATAAGTTAAAGTGAAGTATAGGTGAATTTTAGTAGGGTTTATATTTTCAAATTAAGGCCCTAGCTTTCTGCATCCGACAATTATTGATGTTTTTAAAACTTGTTTAAAGTTTAAAATGTGATAGTTTACTTAATAAAAGCTCTATGTGATCCAAAAAAAATTTACTATCAAATTTAAACTTTCTAAAAGAACACTTAAATCGTGTACAAGCAAATACGCTAAACCATTAATATCAATTTTTTCATAAAAACTAATCAAAATCTACATATATCACGACTCAGACTCCCAACAAACCTCCTATAAAGGAAATGTTGAAATTATAATAGTGAACAGAAACGTTGGACAAGTCATCACGTATATTTTATGTAAGAGTACTGGTATATATTGTTTGTAAAAGGTAACCACCACCTCCGCTTGTTGACATCGAAGGGTGAGTTCTACCAGGTAGAACCTACAAAATAATATATGAGAATTGTAAATACATGAAAAATCAAAAAAGGTGAATCGGAATATAAAAATGCATACCGCACCATCGCGAAATAACACTCCGGACGTTATTTCGGGACGCACCATTTCCAGAGTTAAGATGAATACAGACAATAAGTTTATTTTTTAAAATTTTCGTCAAAATTAAACTTTAGCTCTCTAGAAATGATGTGTCTCAAATAACGTCCCGGACGCTATTTCGCGACGATACGATAGCAAAATTCGGTTCTACCGATGTCTCGCAGAATATTGATATTAAATCATGGTTGAGATTGATACCTGGTACCCTCGTAACCAACTCTCTGTTATTTGTGGGTTTAGGAATTTTCCTGATATTCGCATGTGAACACAAGTGTTCACTAATACCTTTGAAATAATTTTATGTAAATTTTCTATGAATAAAAATGACTACATTAATAAAAAGAAAATATCTATGTATACCTCTCTGTTGATATGATAAATTATAATTGGTCGTGATCTAGCCAAATAAGGGACTAGTGTTTCCAAGATTGATTCTGGTTGATATTGACTTGCAACCAATAACCTATATTTATAATAATAATTAAAGATATCACATGCCAAATAAAAATAATCGAGGCTAGAAATATATATACCCATCAAACCCGCCTTGCCATAAAATTTTTCTTGCTTCTTGTATTTTTTCATAATTAGCCTTTTTACGAAGATAAAATTTAAGTTCCTTTCCGGATAGTTGTGACTCATCTTGATAATTAAATGGTGCTGCACGCATATAAAAATTTCTTCGTGATTAACATGACTTAAAATATTTTTAATTGCTTAACCACAATTAGTTAATTACTATTATACCTTGACACTCCTCTTTAAAAATTTGTTGCCAAGATAATACCATTAGCGACTCATTAACCTTTTTCGAAAAATTCATATATCTTACAATGTCATAATTATGATTTTCGCCGTCATGTATACCAAGCACAACGCCGTAGCCTGAGTGTTAATTTAGAATTAATCAAATGGGTTAATTTAGGGAGCAGTTAACCCAATAAAAATCCTATCACATGATAAGCACTTGATTAAGGTGTGTTGGGTAAAATGAGACTTCTTTACATGACGGAATGCAGACTTTTAACCGGTCTGACTTGAATAATAAATTATACTGTTTTTCGATCACATATATTAGTCTCATTTGAAGTTCGTATTTCGTGTCTAAAGAATTTTATTTTTAGAAGTCCTGGTTTTCACTTGCCGGCACCCACATATTAGTGATAGTAGATAAATAGCGTAATTTATATTATCACGATATGTTTATCATGTGATTAAGATCCTGTGTTAACCGTTAGGTTCCGATTTAATTATGTAATTATTCTAATACCTCCTAATCTTTCCATGACGCCTGTAATTAACAGTCCTTGTGTATCATCTACTACTAACAATTTCGCGTTGGCTCTTACATTTGATAATGTTAACATCTGAGAGAGAGTATCTATGCGCATATCTCTAAAGTAAAAAATCAGTTAATATTTTGTGTGCACGGTGGTATGGAATAAGATGGTATGATTTACCTTATTTTTGAGGGATTTTTTGCAAAGAAGTATTCCCATACAGAATATAATGTTGGCCGTACAGGAGTAAAAACGCGTGAAAACCTATTCATTTTAAATATAAATATGACCCATATAAATTCGGATGTTTGAATTATCATTATAAAAGAATTTTATAAAATAGAATTATCACTTTGATTCTTTTCGTTTAATATATTTCGCTTTAGAGTATTCTGTTTTTTTATCAAACGATGAATGGCTTTCGATTACTTTCTTGATAATATCCTAAAATCATAAAAATTAATTGATTCCTTCAATTTAATTTAAAATCATTTGAAGTTTTTGTTTGAATAAAAGTAAACCTGTCCTTCCAATCCGTCCTTTTTTAATTGTTCGATATCCTGATAGGATAACTTCTGTTTAGACGGATCATCAATTGTTTGCTGATTATTTGCATCAGATTCATCTAAATCTAAAAGTGACCAAAGAATAAGTATATTATAATTGAGAATATGGTGAATGAAAAAAAATTCTTACCAACTTCGTGAAATGCGACATTTTTAATTACTTTTATTTTATCCCGGTCATAAATTTCGTAAGAATGACCAAAAGGTTTCCCTATTATATCATTTGTATGAAAAGTACCAAATTTTCCTAATGACACAGTTCTGTGAAAATATAATAAAAACCAATGATCAATTGTGTTAATACAATAACCTAAAATTAGGTAATAATTTAAGACGAAAGAAAAAAGGTATAATACACACTCACGTATCCTTTTGCAGTTTAAGCACTTTGATATTACCGCTCGGAAGTACAATAAATACATACTGATTATTCATAATATGAAGTGTATCAGCATCTTCTATTTGCTCAAAATCTTTGTTATTGAGATCGACTTCATCAAAGGTTTGGGAATCAACCGGGTTGTCGGATTTTTCCAAAGACATCGTTAAGAAGTAGATTGATAAACTTACAATTGAAATTTAAATAAATAAAAATTTTAACCAATCATAATGGAATATTGTTCATCGGCCAATCGGATTATTGCATATATGTCACTTATTAAAAATAAAACTATCGCTATTTTTATTCGAGAATATAGAAATAGGTATGTGATTCAATTTATCAAAATTATTTTTATACATTAAGCAATATTCTAAAATTCTAAATCTACGTATAAATTCACATATAATCATAGTCTCAGTTCAACTAGTGCAATTAAATGTTACCATTACATTATCATTAACAATATTTGCGGTCGGCTTCACCTCATTACTTTTAACTTGATCTTTGTTCTTTTGATTCGACTTTCCTTTACTCCGAGATTTATTAGGTAATTGCTCTTTATCATAAGTATCTTCAATGTTTGAATCTTTTGCCTTGCGTTTATTAGTTATTGGAACAGCAAAAGGGTTATACGGCAAGATAATATTCGCTTTATTGAAATAAGTTTAGAATGATGCATGAATCTTAGCGTTAGTGACCAGAAAAATAACGGTAATATCAAAATAACCCTATTACCATTTAGGAATTTAATACTATATTCAGCCAATTGGTGATTACTATCACCAGGACTTTCCTCTAATATGGGACCGATAATTAACGGACGCGATGGTTCAATTACTTTGAGCTAAACCGTGAATTTACGATTATTTCAACATTTATAACATGCACACCATTCAATTAAAGATCAAATAAAATAACTTGCCTGATTATATTCTTTGTAGTTTCCGGCTCTTTTTTTAATAACTAATGTAAAAAAAAAATATATGATATCCAAACCAATTGATACAAATTTCTAATACTAATACATACAAGGTGATGATTCAGAAGAAGTAACAGACGCAGATTCATCAGCTTCTTCAATCATTTCGTCTTCAGATAGGTAACCCGTAGGTACAATCCAGCCATCGTCCTTAATAAAAATAAAAATAAACAATAAGTTTGATTTTAAATGAAAAATATCAAATCAAATACTGATTTCATACTCCGGGGTCTTCATCTTCTGGATCTTCGTCATCATCGTCGTCACTTTTTAATTCTTCACCTTCTTCATCTTCTTCCCATTCCATATCACTATCATATTCATAATCTATGATATTAGCGTCCTTGGAAAATGGGCGTCTACCTGAAATAATTTTGCTCGACTTTGTCCAAGTACCTTGATCAACAGCAAAAACATATTTTTATGAACTTAATTCACAAATTCAAAAATGTTGAATCACCACACACAATTTTTGAATTTAATTTTCAGTTATATTTTATGATCTAGTTTAAAGATTGGAACCAGTTTTAATAATTCGCTTATCACGTGAATTTAATGATATTTTAGAAATTTATCCAATTAAATTTTAATAAATTCTAAAATATCACAAAATTCATGTGATAAACTCGAATTATTAAAACCGGTTCCAACCTCTAGTTTATATGTGCTATTTTACTGAAAATCGGGGGAAAAAATTGCGGAAGATCCAAGCATTCTGTAAACATTACAGTACACTGATATATTTGAAAGCACAAGACATCAATACCGTAATATGGAGGACGATAATTTTCTTCAAATTGCAGCAATTTCATCCAAATTTTTTTCTTGTCTCTGAATAATGACGATAGATCATCTACAGGCATTTCTGAAACAGATACAAAACTACATTCTTTTGTCGCGGTTCCACTACGGATAGACCAATCCATGCTTTCACATCCATTATTATTATCATCATCAATATCCATTTTGAGAGGTTCATGATTTGTTTGCAGAATTATTTCTTTAGCCGACACCAATGTTTTCGTACCACGTTTTTTAAGAAGTTCCGGTCGCACAGTTGATAAAAATTCTCTGATATATTTCTCAGATTCTTTGGTTTTTTGTGGTATTGAAGGATTACATAACAGATTCTCTGAATTTGAATCGTTATTGCGCGTGTTTCCAAATACCATTTCAGCAAAATTCGGTGCTACAGGATGCTGGAAGCGATTTACTGGGGCCATGGTCATGGTTTTCGTTACATTGAAAGGAAGAAAATACGTATTAAAAGGAGCACTACTGGTGACTTGTAAAATGGCACAATCTGTTAAGTGATATAAAAACGAAAAATAGAATATTTGATAAAATTCGAGATAGTCGCGTGAGGGCTTACCTGGCTTGTCATTTTTAGTGGTATCTTTCCGAACAGGTGAAAAGAATTTTAGCAAACTTGCATTTGAATTTTCAATGGATTTGCGCGGCATTTATGATTTGTAAAGGTACTGTTCTGAAGAGAATTAAGGATAACCGATTGCCAGTGACGCGTAAATGTACGTTGAAGAAGTTCGTTTTGATTGGTTGTTATAATACCCCGGAAAAAATGTCGATCATACCCCGGATAGATTATCAGCTATACCTGATAAGGTATATATCATTTTACCCCAAAAACGCTTTCGCATTACATTATTACGCGTACTCAAAACCACAATTTTCATTTAGGTTGCCAAACCACCTTCCGACCCTTCAAAATATTCACATCTCATTTAGTTTCCTGAAATTTTGTATCTTACTGTTGCTTAAGTTTGTTGTTCTCACGTATTACAAAAAAAATTTATACTAATAAAAGTATTTTAAAAACTAGGAAAATGGAGACCATTTAAAGTCCGAAGGATTTTATTGGTCATTGATTGTTTTGATTTTTTACGTTACACCTGATCTAGCCAATTAAAATTTAGATGTCCTTCGGACAATTACAATTGATTGTATGCTTATTCTAATTTTAGCCAATCAAAACGAACTTCTTCAATGCTACGTTGAATGACTGTCATCGGTACACAAATCGCAGATCACTTCCAACCAATCCACGTTTTTATCAAATGTGATTGGCTAATCAGCATGTGATTCCAATTTTGAAGTGATAAGTAACGCCAATGACAAATTTTACATTATAATTCCTTCTTAAAAATGGGAAACGAAGTAAATCAAAGTCCAGCGGCGGCCACAGCTCGTGAATTGATGAAACAAAAGGATGCCATCGAAAACAAAATTAAGGAATTTGAACAAGTTTTAAATACGGTATGTCATTTCTATCTTATTCAAATTTAGTTAACTGTTCTTTAATTATTTTTTTATTTAATAGCAAGGAGTAGGAATGCATGAACCTTTAGTTGACAGTTCTGGGTTTCCGCGTTCTGATATTGATCTAATGACAGTGAGAACTGCTCGTTCGCGGATAATCGGTAATATAAATAATTTAATACATTATTTATTCAGTGCTTAAATTTAAAATAGTTTATTGTTCTGAAAATTATTTATCTATCATTCATCTTTTAATTCTCATATAAATGTATGATTTTATGATTTTATAATGTTAGCATTACAAAATGATCACAAAGACATTATGTCTCGGATAGAATCTGCGCTTCATGAGATACACGCTGAAAACAATGCAAACCGTCGACTTGAAGAAACTAGTTAGGAATGGTAAGAAAAAAAAAGTTTTAAATCGTTTTTTATATGTTTTCAATTGTTTTAAAAAATTTTTGAAATATCAACAGCTGGTGGCTGAAGCCGAAATTGTCATATATAATTGGTTAACTTCAGTCAAGTTCCAACATAAGCTGTGACATATACTGTATTTCTTAGATCGGGACAGCTTTAAAAAAAGACATAAGATTATAATCTCATCTTTATAAAGTTTACACATAAAAATATTTAGAAATTCACCACGAATTAGTTCAAATTTATTCGTATTTGATACGTGTTTTTTGTGCCACCAAATCATTATAGTATATTGCTAACAAACGAATTTCGAGATTTTCCACGGGCAATTTCATTTATTAATTCATGATCATTATTGTTACCTACATCATAATATATTAAAAATTTTTTTTTAAACAATTAAAAACCAAACGATCGCGTTTTAAACCATTTGCCATCCCTAAGATTAGTCAATAGTAATTTCTAGAGATGCTTGGTGAAATCAATTTTTTTACCAATTTCACCAATAGTGAGGAAATTAATCAGTTGCAACCAGTTAATCAATTATAATCGATTGGCTTATAATCGACGGTGATGTTGACAATTGGTTCATATCAAGTTTGATAATAATCGTATAATGATAAAAATCTAATTGATTATTTATAATCAATACGTAGCAATGATTTAAAATCCAATCGATTTTAATCGATGGTGGTGATGAAAATCGTTTAAAATATTTAGATTTTAATTGATTATATCGATTTTTATTATTAATGATTATTATTATCAATTTTGATATGAATCAATTATCAACACCACCGTCGATTATAATCGCTTAAAGCTGATCGATTATAATCGATTAACTGTTTACAACTGATTATAGTCAGGCTTTAAAATTTCCTGATGCAGTTATTTCTGAGTTATACATATTTTCCCCTTTTTGGGAATATAACTAAAGTAGGGATTAATTTCTCTGTTCATGTGATTATCAACCAATCAAATTATAACCTTTAAAATTATATTATATAATTAGTTTAATGATTTATTAGCCAGTATACTATTCATAACAGTTTTGGAAATATCTTAGGTATTTTTGACTGTAATTGTTTTTATAGTTATTACTGAGAATATAAGAAAGAATATTGATCAATTAAAATTAATATAGAGAAGTTATTCTACTACTTATATATATGTAATGCTTAAAATTTTTACTTATAACCTATTTTTGAGGTTCTAATAAAAAAGATTTGCAAAATTTTAATTTAAACTCTGCTTTACTCTAATTTTACTTTTTGCTCATTATATAGATCTACAATTATATGCATTTGTTTTATATACTAAATAACTTAGAAATTTTCTTATATTAAATTTAATGTTAAATAGCAAAGTTTTAATCGTTACTATTGTAATATGGTTGCTTAACCTAACTAGATTCTAAATATTTGTTTAATAAACATGTCGTCGCCAGTTAAATCAAGCAAGAATATTACTTGACTTAACGTGAATGAGTGGTTAAGAAATGTGTTAAAAAA